GACAACCTCTCGTCAATATGCGTTTTTCGCATTGCATTGCTGCAAAAAACGCATAAAAAGTGAGCAGGAATAGCGAGCTTCAAATGCGCACTGTTGGCCACAAAAGCAATGCATTTCATTAGATGAATATCGTTTAGAATGCCGAAACTGCCCCGACGAACGGTGTTGAAATCCCGTGTTAGCGATATCGTTGAGATGCTTTCATATACCAGCCATAACTACTCCCAGGCCTTTTGACCTAAGCTCCATGCTTCCAGTGAGGGCCCATCGCTTGTTTGATTTATTCACGCCATCTCTTCGAAGGCCGTCAGACTGGTTATTTTCTTTTATTGCGGGTTCCTTACACTGATACGGCATATCCACCAGCTGATAGCAAGTCAAGAGGTGTGACCACTGGATTTAGCTTTCTCGCACTTACAAGTGGTACCTATTGCAACTGTAAATTCATTTGTTTCGTTTCTTTACATCGTTTTTTAAAATAAACAAATTTTACAGATGTACCAGGTGTTCCGGAAAATGGTCAAGTTGTGGATATTGGCACTGACTGTGCGACAATACGGTGGGATGCGCCAAGTGATGACGGCGGAAGTGCTATAACCGGTTACGTGGTCGAGAAAAAGGAAGCTTCGAGACGCGCTTTCCATCGTTTCACTCAGGTTGTCGCCATAAGCTTTGGAGTTGTTGAGTATCACTTTACGGTGTTTTGTTAATAACATTACTTAACAGTTCGTTTTAAAACTATATGCAAATGTTGTTATTTACCCTTTCAGCAGCGTTGCATAGTTCATTTTAGTACACTGTTAGTTCACTGCTTTTTGCTACTTCAGTAACAAATATTTTGCTGAAGTTGGCTAGTGAGGAAAAGATACTTTGATATTCTGTTTTGCTCGTTCTAGCGTCAAAAAGGAAAATAGGTTAGTAAAATTTTTACCATTACCTATTTTCGGAGAATTGAAGAAAGTAGCTTGCGTTAAATTTTATATTTTATGCAAAGTGTTAAAATAATTTTAACATTTTGCATAAAATACATAATTTTAACATAAAATTACCGTCATTTGTCGACACCGTTCATCAGTCTGTTTTACAGTGATCCGTATTAGCCAAACTCAGCGGGATTGAGCGAACAACGCCTTCTTGTTTTCCTAAAAGCTGCCAGAATATAAATCAACGCTTTCCGGGCTTTCATTGCCGTTGCTGCTTACGCAATGCAGTGAGATGTTTTGCGTAAATCTCTTGAATGCATTAATTGTTTTAGGTGTCTGGCACAACGCTGATGTGTGTTATCGATGAACTGGAAATGAATACTGCTTACATCGTACGCATTGCCGCCATAAATAAATATGGAACTGGTGAATTTATGGAATTGTCTCGCTTCCAGACAGCGACACCATTCTCAGCCCCAACTGTGCAGCGACCACCCAACATCAGAAATATTACCAGTGAGGTATGTTGTTCAATTTCATTGGCTTTTTTACGTTTTGCATTACTGACAAAACGCTAAAACGCATATTCAGTGAAAGGTTGTGTGCATTTGTGTCTGTACATGTCTGTTTGTCTACAGAAGCTATGAAGATGAAATTTTAGCTCTTAATTTCCCATGATGTTTGATTTCTCCACGAATTTTCACTTATCACACACAGGAACACCAAAGATATTTTTGACGGAAAATTAGTCTGAGAGCCAATCAGGATAAAAAGCTAAAAAATGCCTTCTGTCTGTGTTTGGTTCTCATCTTGATTTATACATAAGCAGCTTTCGCAGTCTCTTATGTTTCCTGCGCGAACACATGAAATTTTGAAGTGCAGCGTAGCTGATGCCTATCTCATTTCTGTGCAGAAATAGATGCATTCAGTGGTACCTGGTGTATGAAGCTGTTTACTTAATGCTTCAAATTTTAATTATTGGGCAGTTGACGAGGCAAAAAATGGATTATTTGGCTTAGATCGGATGGGCGTTTAAAAGATGCCGAGAAAAGCATCTGTGTAATGGCAGCTTACCGTTTTGCAGAGTTGCACATTGGAATGGCCTGAAGTGCAGCTGGACGGCGGTTCCCCAATCTACGGATACGACGTGTTCATGCGTAAGGATAAAGCTGCTTGGATCAAGTTAAACGAGGAATTGTTGTTCACTCGGCAATTCACTGTGTCAAACATCCAGCCTGGACCCGTGTATGAATTCAAAATCGAGGCAACCAACGAGGCCGGCTTAACATCCAGCTCAAATATTCCATCCGAACCGCTCATAATTTCTGCAGCCGGTTTGTTCTGCTTCCGGATTTAGTTCTTTCACATATCGCAGTTCCAGGTACACACACGGGATTAAGTTTCGAAAATGTCTATTACTATCTTCCATTTATCTTGAAATTTAGTGCTTTTTAAATTATGAAAAATTTGTTAGGGTTATAAAATCTTTCTTGCTATAATGGATCACAATATGTACAATAAGCAGCAGTCATCTTTTTTGGATTTCACGCCTAAACTGCTATTTTAGAGTTATTAAGCGTGGAAATTTGAGCGTATGAAGAAACAAAAAGTAGTGGATCAAAAAACCGCGATCACGTTTTGGAAAATTAAATAACGTGAAACGAACTGCATTACAATAATTGATCGGACTTTTTCACCAGCTTTTAAAACGAGATTTTTGTTAGCTTTGGAAGTTTTTTTAGCGGAAGAGTTACCGGTTTTGGCCGTACCGATGGTCGAAGTGGTCAGCAGTGATACAGTGAGACTGCAGTGGACTGAAGTTGCCGTCGAGAAATGCAACGTGACGTCTTTTGTTGTGAAATATAAATCGGAAAAAGGATCAGTTTGGTCGGAGGTAATTAGAATTTATGAATTTTCATTTTTTTATTAACCGCAGTGCTGTTTGCAGGATAGCGATCAGGCAAGGTCTTTTTTAAATTTAAGCTGTTTGGAACAGCTCATTAAACTAGTTGCAGAAGGAAACGGAGCACTCACCTCTTCAAATAGACGGCTTGAAAGAGGGCGTCTCGTATCTATTCAAAGTTGCGGCAAAAAGTGGTCCGACTGTAGGAGAATTTTCTGAAGAAACAGTACCAATTCGAGTAGTTGGTAAGTTTCAACAAGTTCACAAGTTATTCCAGTGATGAAAGTTTTTGTTCTTTTTTATTCGAAAACTTTTATACTTGGCGTGTTTTCAGCAGCAAGAAAGCCTGAAATAACAAAGGGTATCAAGGATACGTCAGTATCCTGCAAACGTGAACTTCGATTGGAATGCCATGCGGTTGGCGAACCCATACCAGAATACATCTGGAGCAAAGATGGAAATGAAATCGTTCCTGCTGACGATAATGTTGAGGTACTTATTTTGATTTCTTTCAAGCAGTGTATGACTTCTTCTTTACTTATGTTGGATCTGAAAGTTCTGCTTCCTGATGAAGCATAGGTAATTATCATATGACGCAAAAATGCTCACTTTTGCTAGTTAGATTCCTTCTTGCCTTTGATTGTCTTTAATTTTCATCCTCCCCACTTTATTCATTCATTTAGCCGAAAAATCTTTACATACTTTAGCCTTCCCGCCGCTGATCTATTCTCACCTGTCAGTGTGATCTTGTCTTGCAGAAGCAAGCCAGGCGCTCACGATGTTCTCTTGGGTTGCACTGCATGTCAGTGAATAGCACATACAAGAAAACGAGCAATTAAGCAACCTACGAAAATGCTTGTATCCAATTATCAGTTTGCGTGTATAGCGGATGTGATCAATGACAGTTAAGGAAAACTAATTTAGGACGAGTGGGCCCAGTTTAGCTTAGGGCTAGCATATTGCTGAATTTTAGTAGCAGTGAAAATCCTTGCATCTAAACTTAATTGATTGATCTTGCTAACTTTGCTTTCAGCGTAACATGTGGAAATTAAGATCAGTTGCCGTTCTATACCTTAGAGATGTTTCGAGGAACAGATAAAAAAGAATAAAATCAGCAGGACGGGAAGAAAATTCAAGAGAGTAATAGCGTAGTGTGGCATAGACTTTCTGAAAAGTGCTGGAGGACGAGGAAAGCAAGTAGAGAGGCGTGAGGCTGGAATGTTTTCCCGACTGAAAAATCTGGTACGTCTCTATTGTGCTGCAATGGTAACATCCTGTTAGGCAGATGGGACAGAGTACTGGAAGAGGTGCTGAGCAAAAAGACCGGAGAAACATCTTTCTTACTGCTGCAACATGTTTGACGATAGTTTTAGCCATATTAGAGTACAGTGAATTCATTAAGTGGCAGAATTTTACAGATTGTGAACGAGGGCTATATGAGTGTATTTTTAATTCACCACACGACAATGGACGACGCAGGACTGTATACATGTGAAGTCGCAAATGATCTTGGCTCTGTGCATTCCGACGCTGTTGTCACAGTCACTGGTAATTTTGCATCACTTCGTAACATTTTTCCGCGAACTCTTTAAAAAGCCAGGTTCGCGATTTGTCTCAAGAAAATGCCGTCTTTTTTTGGTAAATATAAATTCAATAGTCGTTTTCAGAAGTGCGTGCACACTTCACCACATCATTTCCCGAATATCTGGAAGTGGACGAAGGCTCCGATGCGATATTTTCATGTGAACTTTCCGATGCTGATGCATCCGTTATTTGGCTGAAAGATGGGCGGGCAATAGTGTGTGATAATCGGCTAGTCATTGAACAGGAGGATGTTGAAAGGCGGCTCACGATCCGGAACGCAAGACCAGAAGATTGTGGCGAATACGAATGCGCAACAGCCGATAAGAAGAGTCGAACTCAGGCGGAGCTGGTTGTTAAAGGTAACTTAAAATTTGCTAGGATTTTTCTTACTGTTTAATAAAACCTTACTTTTGTTAGATACTGAATGACTACTAAAATACGTGTAAAAGTAATTATAAAAGGCTATTGCAGAAGAAGAAGCCCAAATCAAGCAGGGTCCGCAGGATCAAGTGGTCACTGAATTTGGCACCACCCTGGTGCTAACATGCGAAACGACGAAGCCAGTGAAAAGCGTTAAATGGTTCAAGAATGGCAAGGAAATTTGGTCTCGATTCCAGAAGTACGCCATGTCAGTACAGCAGTCAGTGGCTACGCTCGAAGTTTATAATTTTGAAGCAAGTGATCAAGGCGAGTACTCGGTAGCATTACGCGAAGACGAGAGAAGCGCTCCGGCTAAAGTTGAACTCAAGGTAGTGCCATTTATCAAGCTAACTGAGGACATGGACACTGCTGTGATGAAATTGCATGCTGGCAGCGATTTCGCTTTTGAACTGGCCTATGAAGGATTTCCGGAGCCAACGGCAGAAGCAACCCTAAATGAACAGTCGGTGGATATTGCTCGATTTCGGATGCATACATACGACGACAAATTGTCAGTGCGTCTCAGAAATCTGACCAAACAGGATTCTGGATCCCTGAAAATTATAATGGAAAATGTTGCTGGACGTACGAGCAAAGAGATTCAGTTGGATGTTTTAGATCTGCCTACTGAACCGTTGAATTTGACATACTCTGATTTAACAAGCAGGTCGGTAATGTTGCGGTGGGAGCGACCACGAGAGGATGGCGGATCACCTATTAATAGCTATATCATTGAACGAAAAACAACGGGCATCCAGAGATGGCGCAGCGTTGGCAAATGTGAACCACAGCAATGCATGTTTCTAGCAGAAGAACTGTATCCGAGCGAAAGCTATGGTTTCCGGATTATAGCTGTGAATGAAGTGGGTGAGGGGCCGCCAAGTACTGTCGTTGATGTATTCACCAAAAGTGAAAGTTTCGAGCTGGCTGAACTGGCGGAGGAGGCGAGAATTGTTCTACAAACTCCAAGTCGCCCTGAAGCAACACTTTCCGCAGATAACCGAATTGTATTGCTAACGTGGCGTCTGACAGAGGGAGCTGATGAATACATCGTTGAAAGAAGCGAGCGCGATAATGAGTGGAAGCAGATAGGTGTTTCAACGGAACCGAACTTCGAAGACAGTGTTGATGAAGACTTGAGCTACATGTATCGTATAATTGCCAAGAAGGGTGAGCATGAATCCAGTCCCAGTGAGCCAACAATTCAACTGACTGTTCAGCTTCCAGACCTAATTACTGAAGCTCAGGTGCCGAAAGACGAAGCTGCTGAAGTAGGTCTGAAAGAGGTGCCTGAAACAGTCGAGGAATGGCAGCTAATTGAAGAAGAGAAGGCTGAAAAGTTGGAAGCGCAAGCTGCGAAACCGGAAGAGGAGGCTAGACCAGAGAAGGTCCCTAAGAAGAAAAAGAAGTCCGTAAAAAAGGTAACGAAAGATGAAGTGAAGGGAAAGTTAGAAGCAGATGAACAAGAAGTTAGGAAAGAAATGCTGGAAAAGGCAGATGCAATAAAGAAAGAGCAAGAAAAGCTGGTTGAAGAGGTCATTGAACTGAAACGAGAAATTCAAAAGGAAGAGACAGAAAAGTTTGAAGTAGAGGTTGCGTCGGAGAAGATAGCTGCAAAACCTCATGTAGAAGAGCAAGAACAAGTAGCTGAAGAGGCTAAAAAAATAATTGAAGAAAAAGCTGAAGCGGAAAAGAAGCGAGAAATACCTCAAAAGAAAAAGAGGAAAAAGACTGAAGTGAAACCCGAAGATGAAAAGAAACCAGAAAAGCAAGATGAAACAGAAAAGGAAAAGGAGAAAGTCGAGTTCAGACCTGAAGCTGAAAAGGAACAGGAACGGCCTCAAGAGCAAAAAAGGAAAAAGTCTGAAGCGGAATCTGAGGCTGAAAAGAAGGCGGAAGTAGAAACAACACCAGAAGAAAGACCGTTTGAAAAAGTAGTGTCTGAAGAGGAACTTGAAAAATCATTTGAAAGGAAGAAATTAGAACGTGAAAAATCCGATGCTGAAAAAATGCTAGAAGAAAAAGAAATTAGATTAGAAGAAGCCAAAGCTGCGAAGGAACTGGAAACCGAGGGTGAAAAGAAGGCAAAACCCGAAAAGAAAATGGCTAAAAAGAAAGAAGGTAAAAAAGTTGCAAGGAAAGATAAAAGAGAAGTGAAATTGGAAGAGCCGGCAATGCAGGTGCAGCTTGGGGAAGCTGAAGTAGAGAAGAAGCTGGAAAAGCGCGAAAAATTAGCAGTGAGGCCTGTTGAAAGTTGTATAAAAATAGCGTACGGTACGGAGAATGTGGAGCTAAAGATTGAGATCCGTGGTGAGTGCACGAAGTGCTGGTGGACAAAAGATGCAAATCTACTTGATGACGAGCATGTTGAAACAACCACCAGTAGCTCAGTTTTGCGCATCGGAAGTGTAGATGAAACTGTTGCTGGATGCTATCAGTTCACTGCAACAAACAGCACCGAGAAAGCAGCTGCATCGATTGATGTAATTGTTACAGGTATAATTTTTATACAACTTATATAAAAGCGAGTGAATTGCACTCAAACTCAGTTCCTAAATACACTTTGTCTCACGCACGGACGTGTGAAAGTTTTATGAAAGATTTTCCAATTCAGGAATCAGACAAGATAGAAAGCTGAAATTTTAGGAAGATATGTACTGTATATGTGCTTATCAAAGACTTTAAATTAATTTTCTAAGTATGCTTATGTCCCACGTAAAAGAGAATTGTTAAAATTCTGTCAGGAAACTTTACAACTTGAATTTCGTTATTGTCCTCTCTCGATATCCTGTTCATTGTTCAGTTTGCATTTTCAGTAAATGTCTAGTACTGGAAATTATTCATTCCCCTACATGCAAAATTTGCGGTAAACACCCGTGTTGGAGGTTAGACTCTAAAGCAGCAACCATTCATATTGTTAACAGTCCGACTGCTTGAAGATTCGCGCAGAAACCGATAATCGTGCCGGCAATTCTGGTGTCGTTTTTACCAGGGTTTTATTTTGCATTAGCCTTTATGAACTCTACAACCTTCGTACTGTTCAGCTGTGCTGCTGAATAGGAATGTATACAACTTGGTGGACCGAAATATTCCTGTTCATTTGATAACATAATTTTATGTATATATATATATAT